CACGCATAAGAAAATGTTCTGTGTGGACCAGTCTGTTTCCCTGATACATTTTCTAGGGTGCAAAGATGATTACTGAACACATTTTGCAGCAAGGAGTGCTACAAAACAACAGAAAATTGAACAGGTATAATAGGTATAATATGTATTTGTTGCATATTTGTTGTCTTTCCAAGTAGGAGTGAAGGAAGCATGTGTTTTATTTTACTAGTTACCATTTCAGAAGCAACACAACGTATGTCCCTCATTAAAGGAACAAATATTGACAGTAACCATTCAAAATTTAAAATTAATGGATATACAAAGAATATATTTAGAGGACACAGGGTGTAACTGACAGAAGGAAACTCCAGAAAGAGGTACATTTAAAATAGCCACATTAGCTATCTGAAAGCTGTTGAAAGACAAGGAGAGTGTGATGTGAATTTGCAGCAATGGAAATAATTTCTCTCTAACAAAATAAAATACAGGCAAATCTTAATCTGATCGTGAATTTCTCTGACGATGGTATAGTCCCTGAAGAGAAACCAAAGAATCTCTATAATTAGTGACGCTTAAAGTCAACATTGCTGGAAACTATGCTAGAGGTCAAAGTAGGTCCAGCAGAGATCCAGACAACTGTGACAATGATTACAGCTGACCCCAGAATTCCTCTGCAGGTGATTCCCAGTGACGCCAATAAGCATATGTAATGGTTTAAAATGTTGAGTGCTGTGATAGGAAAACATCAAAGCAAGAGGGTATGCTTTAAATAAAATTCAGAAAATTGTTAAATCTGTTTATGTAAGTTATGAATATTGTGGGGAAAATCTTATTGATAAACTTATAAATTTTTTTCTGGGAAGAGAAAACTATCTCCTATACTAGCATGTTGCATGTTCACAGTTGTACATCACTTGGGCACAGCTAAGGAGCAATAGTAAATAAATGAGAGGAAACTCTCAATTTTTCATCCCTAGCGCAGCTGAAGAGCGTGTTACTTGATTGCTTTAACTGAATCTGCCAGTATGCTTCACAAGCTCCTGGTAAAGTATAAAGTGGGTTCTTTCTGCTCCCCAAATGTGAGGATCAGAGGTCACTAGAGCCTTGTCCCTGCTATAAGCCTTAAGTGTTAACTGGGGACAGGTGAAGGTGGCAAAGTTAAGAGAAGCTTTTAAGCAATTCTGAAGGATTCACAGCCCTGTACTTTCTCCACAGCAGACTGGAAATTTCCCATGCTATAAGCCTGTGCAGATCAAGCAGCCCATTTGCAAAGACAAGAAACTGATGTGAATGAACCTGCTTTGTTCTCGGTGCAATTTACTAAATATGAGTTATAAAATCACTATAAAAAGTTTCTCAAAGGCAAAAAGTTTTCAAATTATGCCAAAAGAGATTGCTGGTCTTCTCTTAAGGCTGTGCTATTACTGAATGGCTTTTACCAGTCAGCTCTGTGGTAATTGCATTCATGCTTTTTGTACAAAAGGGCATGACCCTTCTCACTGAAGTGGATTAGGATGCTCACAGACAGTGGAGTCTACATCCATGGTTACGTAAGTAAAACAGGCATCTCCATAGAGATTCAAATATCTAAACGGGATTTAGACATCTTATGAAAGTATTGGCCCACAGGCTACCTCTGCATCTGCTCACTTGACAGAAAGATAAGTTACTGCCACGGCCAATATTGCTTTGCCAGACAATCCAGACCATTAGTTACTAACGGTGAAAGTAACTCGGTGTCGGTGCTTGGTCTTCTGCTTCCTTTCAAAAAAGATTCTGAACTTTTAAGGATATGTTTAGTAGTACTTTGTCATCTCTTCTATGGTGGCTAATGCATAAAGACAATAGAAACTGATGCTGTGCTACACTCAATAGATCCAAAGCTTAAATAAAACATTAATTTTACATTAAACAATGACTTTTCTAAAATGTTCTTAATTGGCTGTGGTATCTCAGGTGTTCCATGCCACCATGCATTTTAGATTAAACAAAACTACAAGATGGTGTGCTTAGAGCAGTCTGTACTATGAGACAGCTTCTCTGCTAATGCTGCAAACTGGCTAGATAGGATTCGGGAGCAGTTCAGAGTTACCTGTCATCTTAGGAAGGCCTCCTGAGACGCCAAAATGTGTGAGTGGGGCTGTACAGCTTCCAGGCAAAAGATGGCTCATGTCTGGACAGCTTTGAGAGCGAGCAGGGGAGGTGAGGTACCCATCTGGGTACTGAGTCATATTTACCTTTTCACTGAATGAGAATGGAAAGGGACAATGCACTTGGGATTGTCACATGCCCATGGTGGACACTGCGTTAATGCAAGGAAGAATTACTTTTACTCTCTAGAAAATTGTGCACGATTGTGCTGGTTTTGGCTGGGATAGAGTTAATTTTCTTCAGAGTAGCTGGTATGGGTTGGATTTGTGCTGGAAACAGTGTTGATAACACAGGGATGTTTTCGTTACTGCTGAGCAGTGCTGACACAGAGTCAAGGCCTTTTCTGCTCCTCCCCCCACCCCCCACCAGCCAGCAGGCTGGGGGGGCACAAGCAGTTGGGAGGGGACACAGCCGGGACAGCTGACCCCAACTGACCAAAGGGATATCCCACACCATATGGCGTCATGCTCAGCATATAAAGCTGGGGAAAGAAGAAGGAAGGGGGGGACGTTTGGAGTGACGGTGTTTGTCTTCCCAAGTCACCGTTACGTGTGATGGAGCCCTGCTTTCCTGGAGATGGCTGAGCACC